ACATGGTCCAGCTGCTCTGGAGTACGGGCAGCGGGAGTCTTAGCTCCTCCCCCAGCCTGGGAAGTAGTTGGTGCAACTGGGATCAATCCTGCCTGAGCTAAAGCACAGATCATGCTCAGAAAAGGTGCAAAGTCTCCTGAAGTCCTGGGTAGCAACAGGAGTCTCAGGTGCCTGCTCCCCAACCGGGGCTACTGGTGGTTCCTCCGTTGCTGCCCTGGCAGGTGCTCTAGCTGTAGCACGTACCCCTCCTCGGCCTCTACCTTGACCCCGGCCTCTTGCGGTTTTAGCAGAGGGTGCGGGTGTCAGCTCAGCTGATCCGGTAGTGCGTCTCCTCACCATTTGTAAGAGAATGAAAGACAAATGCTCAGATTCCGAAAACAACAAATTCGCATGATAAAAAATGAAAGAAGTGGAATTTCCTAATAGTTCGTAGCCTCTCGAAGATAACTATAGAGGTCTCTATACCGATCCGCAAGACTCTACTAAACTTGTTTATGACTCGTAGCACCTATGAACCTAGAGCTCTGATACCAACTTGTCACGACCCTAAAATTTCACCTTTAGGATCGTGATGGCACCTAGTCTCTAAGACTAGGTAAGCTAACACATGCTGAGATTTAATAAAAATAAACAACTTAGCTATTAAATTAAATTGATAAATGACATAATAAAGTCGAAACTGATCAATAGTCATACATTCCCAAAACCGGTAGTACGTAGTCATAAGCTCTACTGAGATTAAACAAGAAATCTCAAATACAAAATTGTTTGTAATGAAAATAAACAGTAGTAAAGGTAACATTAGAAGGTGACTCCGAGGCTTGAGAGCAGAATAGAAGGTATACCTTGAAGTCTCCTCAGCAACTCAAAAGCAGCTGTCTAACGTCTGACACGCTCCGGGGTATCTGGATCTGCACATAAATGTACAGAAATGTAGTATGAGTATAGCACAATTAGTACCTAATAAGTATCAAGACTAACCTTGGTGGAGTAGTGACGAGGCTCAAGTCAACACACTCACGAGACATAAAAACATGTGCAGAATATATATACATAGCTAACAACAAAAGGCAAAAATCAATAATTGACAACAAAGAGTAGACATGTGATAAAATAATAAAATAATCAAAACACAGTTAAAATACAAGTGAAATCAATTAAAGAAGCCATAACAGTTTAAATTATCAAGTCGTTCCAACAAAAGATTTACAACAAGGACCACTCGAGGTACCACACCTCATAATCATAAATCACAAGTCAAAAATCAAAAAATTTCCTTATGATGTCGTGTGAGCCTTATATTTTTTAAAAATATTTTTCCCGAAATAGCTTCACACGCATAAGCCCCCTTATCTCGTCACGTGTGCTTCAAAATGAAGTAATTCCTCTTACTAGCAACACGCGTGTAAAACCCTCTTAACTCGTCGCATTCACATCAATAACACCACCTTTATGCCGCCGCATGTGCATCTTATCACAACACAATAATCGACTCGCACCACACATGCAGATATGCCACAACATTGAACAAACAACAATAACAATATCACAATAACACTTAGCCCACGACCTAGCAACAATAATGTGTACAAGAATTACAATATCAACACAATGAAATGGGGTATAGCTCAACAATGAAATGTGTTCCATTTAGCAACAACTTCAATTCAAGGCATAATAATAGCCTAAGAGTCTTAACCAGTTAATTATCATATATAAGCCCGTGCACACACTCGTCACCTCATGTACACGTCTTTCACATAATTCAAATAATGCAATTAAACGATATCTTACGGTAAAGGTCTCCCATAAAGTTAGACAAGATACTTACCTCAATCATGCCAAATTAACACTCAAAAATAACTTTTCCTTTAAAATTAACCTCTGCACGGATCAAATCTAACCAAAAATGACTTAACAATATCAAACAATGCAAGAGAAACTAATTTCGATTAATAAAGTTATGTTATTTGCACAATTTTCCAAAAGTCAATCCCGGACCCGCCCGGTCAAAACCCGAACTCAAGGGTAGATCTCGACTGCCCATAACTCCACGAGTCCATATATGTATTTTATTTTCAAATTCGAGTCCAATTCGACTCTCAAATCTAAAAATTTTATTTTTAAAACATAGTCAAAATGTCCCAAATTTTTTCTTCAATTCTCATGATTTAGATGTTAAATCTCATAAATAATTATTTTATGTAATCAAAAATGGATCAAATCACTTACCCAATAGTTTGGTATGAAAATCTCTCCTCAAAATCGCCTCCCACAGTCTAGGGCACAAAAATGTGATAAATGAAGCCAAGTCCCGAAATCCCACTATTTTGTTCAGCAACAGAAGTCGCAAATGTGACTCGGGTTTGCAATTGTGAACCCTCGCAATTGCGGACAACCCATCACAAATGCGGCGCCTGACAAAACCCGGGGAATGTCGCAAATGCAACACTGACTTCGCATTTGCGAAGTCAGTCCCTTTCACAAATGCGACCTGCCCAGCCCAGAACCAACCTTCGCAATTGTGATCAAGGCATCACATTTGCGATACCTGACCCCTCCCTGCCTTCTTCGCAATTGCGATGGTGGTGCTCGAAATTGCGTTAATCGCAGCACCAGCATACCAGCTGCTGAGAAACCAACCCAAACCAATCTGAAACGCGTCTGAAACTAAGCCAAGGCCTCGGGGCTCCATACCAAATATCAACAGAAGTCTAAAAACATCATACCAACTCGCTCGCACGGTCAAATCATCAAAATAACATCTGGAACTATGAATCAGATAGCAAAACACATGAAAATCACAATGAAACTCAAGATTCACTAAAATCACAACCAAGCGTCTGATTCCTACCAAACTAACTCGGAATGACTCCAAATTTTGCAAAAAAGTTCCAAATGACAAAATGGACTTATTTCAAGTTTCGAAACTAAAATCCGAACCCGATAGCCATAAAGTTAACCTACGGTGAAACTTAAAATATTTATAAACCTTCAAATTGCTAACTTTCGTTAAAACAAGTCAAATCAACTTAAGAACCTCCGAATTTAATTTCGGGCATACGGTTAAGTCCAAAATTACTATACGAACCTGTTGAAATCATCAAAATATTATTCCGGGATCATTTTCATAAAAGTCAAACCTCGATCAATATTTCCAACTTAGGCTTCTAAACTAAAAACCAATGGATCCAAATCATTCCAAAACTTCCCCCGAAACGAAACCAACCATTCCCACAAGCCATAAAATCACTACACATAGAAAATTTAAAAAAAAAAAATGAGGCTCAAATACACAAAACGACCAGTCGGATCGTTACATTAATGAACCTCGCTTGTCTTTTAGAACTTTCTTGAACATAGCTAAAATGTCTTAAATCTTCAAATGCTATATATTCTTGCTGAAATTGACAAAAAAAGCAAGATAGCTTATGAAAATTAAGTGATGAAATTATAGAACTGTAACTAAGTTTAAGTTGAATATAACGAATGATGACTGGGGAATTTTAAGATGCAAAGTTGTTTCCTTTATTGAGTTAGATATATATGATCAAAATTTATCAATTTTAGAAGTTTAAAATTTATTTTATAACTCAAACACAATTCTTAATATAATATTTATGTGATTTAAAAAGAATTACTCTTCGAGATAGGGTTCACACGGAATGTGCGTAGAATCAGCTAGTGTTCTTAAAGACATAGAGCCTACACATAGTTATATTATTATTATTCATATAAATAAGGGTTAATTCAAATTAATAAAATATTAGCCATGTGTTTGACATACATTATGTTGGATGTTGTTGTAATAAACTTTATTTACTAATATGAAGATTTTAGCAGTTTAATTCAAAGTTATAAAATATTTTTACTGTAAAAAATAGTCTTTCATCGTATTAACAAAAAGATTGTACTTTTTTCTATAAACTTTAATATTGTTTAAGCAAAAATAAAATCATAAATTTATTATTAAAAATTTTGGGGCCTAATACAAAGGCTTTAGTACCCTCCCTTGTGTCTAAGGGAGCAATTCCTAGACTTGTTTCAGTTTCTGTCAATCCAAGAGCTACAGTGGCACGAAATTGGAACATCACTTTCAGAACTTTCTGGAATGGGAATTAAATAGCTTTCTGGACTTGATGAACAAATTGGAGCAGGTGAAAATCAACTGGCAGGGAAGAGAAGACAATTTGAAATGGGGTAATCGTGAAGTTGGACCGTTCACAGTCAGCAAGTGCTAGAAGAGTCAGCTAAGACTTAATTATGTAAGCCTTTAAGTTATATACACCGTCAGTATAAAGAATTTGTTATACTATCAGGTCATCCAAAGAATATTTAGAGGTAAGCCTCCTTATAACATGAGATTACAATAACATGAGATTTGTAATCTTAAATATAAGACCCGTTAGCTGTTGTAACAGGTAAAGGTGACTGATGAATTTTTTTAACACTGACAATGTATATAACTTAAATTCATAATATAATTGGGGAATAGCCATGGAAATTGATTTGGAAAACTAAGGGACCAACTAAAGTTAAACTGTTTTAACTGGATTGTGATCTATGAAGCTTGCCTCCCTCGAGATAACTTGAAAAGGGGTCTCACACTCTGCAGTATATGCTACTACATGTGCAAAGTCTGAAGTAGAGGATGTCAGCCATTTATTTCTCCACTGCAATTGCTAGGGAGTATTTTGCTATGTATTTGAGGACACTAACACTGCGATTTTGCATCCTTTGGATGCTCATTAGTAAGTCCTACATCATCAAAAAGGAAAAAGAAAAATAGAAGACAATGCATATTGTAAGAATTAAACTTTTCAATTTTTTATTTCAAAAGTCCGACTGAACCAAAAAATCGAATTTTAAGATTTTCGTTCTAGTTATTTGGTTTACATAGAGCTCACTCACATAAATCTAAAGCTACTAACATGCCAAGTGGGATCCATCTTCACACAACGAGCACGGTTCATAATGACAAACATGCAAGGCAAAAGTTCTTCATTCATAAAGGCAGCCTAACAACAGATCTAGTTGGGCAATTTTGATGTATGCACTTATTGCTGAAGGTAAAAGAGAGTGACAGAGAATATTAACTAAGATACATAAAATACACTTGAGCATGTTAATGTAGTCTTCAAAGACGAGATTGTCAAAGAACCTACTCAACATATATGACACAGAAATTGGAGGAGTCCTAAACTAAATGGAAGCAAACCAAGATCATTAAAGAATAGAAACAGAGAGAATTATTCATCTATAGATAAATTTTTCTTGTGCTTTCCATGGTTTTCTTTAGCCTTGTCATCCTTTAAAGCCTTACCATTTATCTTGTTCTGGTTACTAACAGATCCCTCCTGAGCACTGCACATTTGAGACTTCAACTTGAACCCGAACTTCTTGGAGACATTTCCCCAAGTGCTCGATCCCTTTGATCGTCCCAACTTCTCGATCTCCTGCCTCATGTTTGAGCACTCCTTCTCAAGCTCAGAAACACGAACCCTCATGCTATCCATCCCCACTTTCAAAACCTGGTTTTCTCTCACAGCGGTAGCCCAGCCACCACCCTCGTTTGTTCCCACCATGCCACTTCTCAACTGCCTTGACCCTCCATCAAGGTTGTCGGACACTAGGAAGCATCCTGCAATGGATGTTCTCAACTGCAGCTGCTCGAAGAAGAGTACTTGTACTATAATCCTTAAAGGGAGTCTTTCATTCTGTGCAGCATGTGTGCAAGCTTCCAAGGAGAGCTTCTGGCAATCCATGAGCCTGCAGAGTTGTTCTCTATCGGATTCTCCCAACCATGGATGTGACTGCAAAAAGACGAATAAAAGGTTTATTATCTCACCCGACAAATCTGAGCCAATATCTAGTTTTATGTCACTGATCATTCTTTTCAAAATTTTGATGGTTCCCCACTCCAATGGTGGGGATTTCAAACACTTGAGGCTGGTGCACCCAATTAGAAATGCCCATAAAAGGGCTACCTCAGGCTGGTAGCGGTAGGTCAAGTTTAAATAGGATGTCAAGTTTAAGTGCAAATTTCAGTAAGCATGGCATAATGACAGCATTTACTTCAGAATGAACATTGCAATGATCATATATAAGAGAAGTAGCAAACTAAATTCACCTTTAGATAAATGTCAATTGCACGATAAAGGCCATCATCCAAGGGCCTTGCATATTCAGGAACAGCAGCAGCCAAAGCCTGAAACTTGGGAAGCTTCAAGTTAACATCTGGGGCAACCTCAGCAAGGTATCCATCAATTAGTTTCGCAACCATAGTGATTGGCGTCAGAGATGGTGAACCCATTAGTTGTTCATCATCAATGGAACAAGGTGATTCACCACCAGTTCCTTGATCCATGGCTAAGAAGTACTCAAGAATCCGCTGTACACAGTCAACATTATAAAGTGTCTCCATTGAGTAAGAGAAATTAAGCATTAAGAGATCTTCAAGAGTGGCCTGATCAAGCTGCATTCCTATCCTTTTCTCCAAGTCCGATATGCAAGAGGGACTGGCTCGAAGAATCAAGGCTGTTTTCAGTAGGCCAAAGAGGAACTTAGTTGGAACTAAGCCTTTTTGCATGGGAAGTAAATGATCTATCTCTTCAAGTAAAAGCTTCTGATCTTCTTCTGATAGTGAGGAACCTAAACCGACTGGTGCAAGACGGTTACTAGACTCGGTAGAGCTTTGCCGCCTGTTTAGCCCAGGCAGATACTTTTTAGCATAATAAGTGAGGGAACCAGCAATTATTTCCTGTTTGACGCCTTGAGATTCCATAGCAGAAATTAGCCTTTTGTAAAGAGGTAAACTTAAAGATGATGCATCGTCATACCACCAATCAGCACTTGAATGTTTTGGTCTAGCTCCGGTGCTTATTCCATTCCATAAGATACTCCCTCCAGGACTCTGCAAGGGGCCGACGTGCTCCACAACAGGCCAACCAAACAGGTTTGGGTCAGTACACGCCTTCACAGCCAAAGAATCAATGCACCTCTTTGTAATTTTGAGTTCTTCAGCATATGAGAGAACATCATCACAGGTTTGGAGTGCCTTC